AAATAGAATATAAAAGCAAAAAAATGTATTTGTTTTTCCTAATGAGCCAATCTTTTCATAAAATCATTCTGCCCTGTTGCTTGTAGTAGGTTTTTATCCTGATGGGTTCCCCATTTCACTCAGATTTCCAGAGGAGACAGAATAAGAGTGTTCACCTTGACTGACTTCTCTTTCTCATCAGGTTTAGCTGCAAGAAATGTCAGCTAAAATTGTTTTATGGCTTTGCCAAAGAGTTTTAGAGAAGGACTTCTTTTTTCCCTGCACTGTATAATTTACTTTGTTGTACTTAGAAATGTAGGTTTCAGGGAATAAAATCTTTCAGGAAGAAAAAATATCAACATATCCCTTCCAACTTACTCTCTTTCAATCTCTCTGGCTTTATTTATTTGTTTGTTTATTGTAACAGTAACTCTAACCTTGTGGCTCAGGTAATATTTAACCTAGGTAAGGCATTAGGGCAATTTTCTTAGTCTCATCACTGATTACATCTCAGGGATTATTAGTGCTAGCCTGCAAGGTTTCTCTAGGAAGGCTGAGGCCATCCCCTCAACTATGTAAGCAAGGTCTTTATCTTATTCCAAAGATTGAACCAGGACCTTTAAAATGCCTAGAAATATTTTCTCACTGCATGTTCCTATACAGTATTCTGTCTAGAAAATTTGGTGTAGAAATAGTGTTTAAGCCCTTCAGCTGTCAGAGAATGGGTCAGGTTTGTCATTTTCAACTGTGTGCCTTTGCCTAATTATATAAAATTGCTGAGAGACTTTAAAAATCTTCCTTATGTTATTATATTTAAGAGATGTTATAATAAGTACTGCTAAAAGAAGGACTTGCTATCAAATTCACACTCTTCCTTTCAAATCTACACTTATCAATTCAAATACGCTGTGCTTATTTAACAGATTTCACTGCCACCCTCAGATATTAGGGTGCCACCCTCAAGACTACAAAGCTCATTTAAGACAAAGAGAATCTAGAGGTCTCAACTTTGTGGCCACTCTTTTTTCCACCATGTCACGTTAATGCTAATGTTGTCTTTTCTTAGACAATCATTCCTTTACTTAGGTCGCCTTATTTTGAGGCAAATATTAAAAGATAAGGCATGGCGTTATTTTATCAAAGCTAAAATTAGGAAAATCAAAGTATATTAGATGTTACACTCATAAACACTGCAGTATTTCAATTATGAAAATATTAATATCATCAAAGCAAAACATTAGGCAAACTCCAGTGCTAACCAATGAGAAAAGATATCTTCTTAAAATATAAAGCAAATCTTTTTGCAGAATATTTGAATATTCTTATTTTTAAGAAGTCAGCCATTTAGATTTTAATATACGTTCTGATTTTTTTCCAAGATAGTGTGTCTGTTTAAGATGGTGTTTAATTTGCATTTCTGACAAGAAATACTTTCGAGTGGTTCTGATTTAAGTTGAAGAATCATTTACATAAAAATTTTCTTTTGATTCAGAAATGTGGCCAGCTGAAGAAAATAAATCTAGCTTTAATCACATATTGAACCAAGGACAAAACAACACAGATCCTAATTGCTTTGGTTTATAAAGATGCTAATACTCATTTAAATCCTTTTCAGGAAATGACAAAAAAGACACTTTGAATGGGCTCTTTCTGGCATTTTATGGGACAATTATTCCCATATTATTCTTTTTCTTCATGGAAAAATCAAAATATTTGTCTGCTGAATAGCTTTTGCTGATTGTTAAAGTCAAAAATAGTGTTTTTTGAGGGGAGTAAAATTATACTGTAAACTGAAGTCATGCAGAGTCCATGGCTCTGTGTGTGCGTGTGTGTGTAGTGGTAAAAAAATACAGAAAATAAAATTTACCACTTTAATTATTTTTATGTGTACAGTTCTGTGACATTGAGTATGTTCACATTGTAGTGCATCCATTTCTAGCATTTTTTCATCTTCTCTAACTGAAATTCTGTATACATGAACCACTAACTCGCCATTTCCCTCTCCTCCTAGCCTCTGGCAACCACCATTCTACTTTTTGTTTCTGTAAATTTGACTACTCTAGGAACCTCCTATAAATGGAATCAGGCAGGATTTGTCTTTTTCTGATTGGCTTTTTTCACTTAGTGTAATGTCTTCAAGGTTCTTCTATGTTACAGCACATGTCAGAATTCGTCTTCCTTTTTAAGGCTAAATCATATTCCATTGTAACGTAACAACATATTTTGTATGTCCATTCATTCCTCAATGGATGCTTGGGTTGTTTCCAAATTTTGTCTATTGTGAAAAATGCTGCTATGAACATATGTGTATAAATATCTGTCAAGTTCCTGCTTTCACTTCTTTTGAGCATATACCCATGAGTGGAATTGCTGGATCATATGGTAATTCTGTGTTTACTATTTTGAAGAATCACCATACTGCTTTCCACAGTGGCTGTACCATTTCACATTCCCACCAGCAATCTGTAAGGATTACAATTTCTTCATATTTTTGCCAATATTTGTTATTTTCTGTTTCTGTTGTTTGTTTGTTTTTGTTTAATTTAACAATAGCCATTCTAGAAACTGTGAAGTGATAAATCATTGTGGCTTGATTTGAATTCCCACTAATGATTAGTGATACTGGACATCATTTTCTGTGTTTATTGCTCTTCTCTGGAGAAATGTCCATTCGAGTCCTTTGCTCATTTTAAATCTGGTTGTTTGTTTTTTTGTTGTTGACCAACCCTGTGCATTAGCAAACAAATACTTGAACTTAATTTTACAAATACATAAGGATGATATCTCAGTACTAAAATTTTCTTTCTCAATATTTAGAATATTTCTCTAACATAATCCTGAGGTATGCTTTGTATGTGAAAACTTATAAACGAGTACTAAATGTTGTTTGTATCCATTGCAATGTACTACTTTCCAGTGATCAACCGAAAACATAAATGATATGATTGTTTTGAAGAAACAGTTGGAAAAAAGAGCAGGAGAAATAAGTTCTAAAACAAGCTTTGCATCATGTAGGATTTACTGAGCCTATGTTCTGTTTAGGTAATTAATATATTCACTAAAATTTTTCAGTTTATAGACCTTCCATCTGCCACATGGCATCTGCTGCACCTCATCTTCTTTTCATTACTTTACACCTTTTATGGCAAGTCTTCAGAAGTGCTATGCAAAGTCTTTCTTCAGATATCAATTTGATGTAAGTATTAGATATTTTAACATTCAAATCATGGAAACTCAATTTCATGAAAGCTTTTTTCCATTAAAACAAATAGAAGTTTTTTAGGAGTTAAATCAGTTTCTTTGACAGTATCAGTAAAACTACACTGCATACCTTGCTCCAGACACTTGGTTGCAAGTCTGGAGACAGCCATTAGTTTATGCCAGAGTCTTGGAAACTTTCAGTTTGTAAGGAATAAGATCACTTTTTTCCCAACACCCTGTTGTAAATCAAACTACTTCCATTTGAGCTGTAACTAAAAATTTTATTAAGTCAATTAGTGGCCAAAGTGCTAAAGCCTATTCAGTATTTGAGAAATGTCTCATTTTACTTTCAAAGACATCTATATAGAAGGCTTCTTCTTATTATTATTCACAACTTTTAACCACTGTAATTTTTTCCATTTGAAAAATAATTTTCATATTGTATAAATCACTGTCCTAGAATCAGCCTGCTTTAGTATTTTCATGATTCAGATCTTTGAGAAGCTATTTAATTGATGGAAGTTGGTTTATTCATCTGCAAGCTTCCAATGAATTTTATACAACATATTTAGATAGAAGCAAAATCTGGACATATGTATTTAAGATGACTTTACTTTTAGCTGGAGTATGTATATCATTAAATAGTATTTAATATACAACCCCTTGGTATTGCTTCATTATACCCTTCAGTAGTTGTCAACTTGTACAAGGTGACTTTATTTACTTACTAGAAAAATGAAAACAAAAAAATCTTATTCATCTCTTATCCAAATGTATAGTTGATTATATCACAAGAACAGAAGGAAAACCTGATTTATGTATGTGTGTGTGTGTGTGTGTGTGTG